GATTATGCAGAAAAAGTAGAATTGGGCTGAAAGATCTATCACTTTATCACCTATTCAGGTTGTAAATCGTGTTTTTAAAAAGTAACTAAGTACTAAGTAATTAATTACTTTTGAAAATAAGTAATAAGTAAAGTAACGGGATTACTTTTTGGGGGAAGTAATCAGTAATTAGTTACTGATTACTTTTTTCAAGTAACTTGACCAACACTGTCTCAGACACTCAATTTGTTAAAAAATAACTTGAAACACTCTCTTAACTACAACTTCAGTCCTGCTCAGTGTAAAAGTTACTTTAGATGCTCCTTTATGCATTTTAGGGGGCAGCTCCACATATTTCATATGGCAGATTTTTACACCGGATGCCCTTCCTGAAACAACCCCCAAGGAATTTGTATCTCCTCCCAGGATCAAACTGTGGACTTGTTGGGTGATTGTGCAAACCACTGCACTGTGGAGCCACTTCTGCTCAGTATCACAGATGGCAGGTTTAAAACACAGAAAAAGACCAAAGCCAACAACGTATGTTGGTTTTGTATGTTGGTCTGCAGACTGTCTGACAGCAAACTGCCTTTGGCTCTCACAGAAAGTTGGTAAATCTTTAAGAAAAACAATTCCACATATTTTCCAATTACAGAACAAAATGTGCCAGTAAACGGAGTGTGTTGAGGACTCATTTTGAGCAGTGGATAAATCAAGATTTGTTGCTCTAGTGAGTATTGAAAATAAACTAAGTTAACTTAGTTAATGTTGGTTAATGGATACGAAGGAACAGGTCACCCAGTGGAGCCTGGGGAGACATATTTAGACAGAGATGTGTCTTTAAATCTGCATTTGGTTGAAAATAACAGTCTTCCTTCTTAAAATAGTCTAGCTTGTGTAACTCAGTCATGACCATTTTAGTCAATCAAACGTTGTACAAAAAAACAGCGAACATAAAGATGTATTTACATTTTAGAAGCAACAGTTATGTGATCTTCAATAACATGAGGGGTGGGTGGGTTACATTTTAATAACCAGTTTAGTCTGGTTCTGGCACAAAGAGCTCCAGGAGGGAGGTTTACACATGTTCACAGTGGTCTCCAAGGGTCTGCATACGTCTTCCAAAATCTGTGACTGAATGCACCTCAAAACTGAGCTTTTCGGTGTATTTAGGGGGGAAATAAGGTCTGCGTATGAAGTGCATCAACCCCAGATGTGCTGAAAAAGTGGACTGAACTTGTTTTTTGTGTTGAGTGACCCGATGTTTGTAAAGCTCTCCTTGCTAATCAATTGCAAACATAATTCTCTCTTTTTAACTTCGCCAGGGGAGCCGCCAAGGTCATGATCGACTGGCCCAATGTGACGGCGTCCGGCAACCAGGAGCTGGGCCTGAAACCCGAGGAGCTGCAGAAGTCCAAATGTGTCCTGGGTTTCATTCCCGTCATCTACTACAGCATTCTGCTCTCCATCGGAGTACCAGGTACACGAGCCAGCACATAAACCAATCAGAAAACAGGGAATCGCACATGACTCAAGAGATCAATATAAATGTGAGTTAGAGGTACATTAATACTTTTATAATGGGGACTGGATAGTGGATAATACACTCAGGGATGTCTGTTTTCACAGTTTATGTTCATTTCATTAGCTGATAATGAGGTTGTGTGTGAATTTACCCAATTATTATCTCCAGCTAACCATGTTAGGATCAACTCGTACACGACTTATCAGACTCTCGCACCAGCTACGTCTTCATTATCATGTTTCACTTTTACAAGTCAGTGATGACGTGAAATTGAGGCATTCAGATGTCCTCTTTGCTTTTTCACATAACTGCTCCCAAAGGGAAAAAATTCTCAGAGCCGAAGAGCCAACGTCTGCAATCCTGGAGGGTCGAAAACTACGATCCGAATAGCTGCAGTGGAAATATCTTACTGCTGACAAGACGTCTGGGATGAAATAGTACAGAGGAGATTGTGTGTCTGACAGCGTGCAGGGAGACAATAAAAACAGCGTCTTGTAACATTTTTTTTTTAACATACTTTAAAAAGCAGAAGCAGAAACTCTGAGTTTAGAAAACAAGGATTTAAACAGAAACATTTATTATTAGCTTTATTATTAACTGTAACATTTAAATATTAATGTGATCCATCTCAGTAATTTAGTCTCTCAAGTAAACTGCAATGCCAAATTGATTTAATTAACTTTAGGGCTGATTTAATGTTTCCTATGAATTTATACTAATGAAAACAAACAGTCAAATGCTACACAGCTTTAGATACTCTGCTTTTGCCACTGACCTTTCATTGGCATCACCAACTGTTCTTTAGGCCTGTGTGAGGCCTTAACTTGGTTGTATTGATCCTTCCCAAAGACGCTGCCACGCCATAGTGTATTTTTCTTTGCTGAGTTTGCTGTCATTACGAATATCCATAAAATACTAAACAACGATATTGTCATGAATTACAAGATGAGAGCCCAAATGCAGACTGTTAGCGAAATGAAGTAACAAAAGGCAACGTTTCACTTCAGCAGATAAAAGTCTAACGAAAAATGAAGAATATAAAAAAATAAATCTCCACCTGCAGTGTTGGTTTGTCCTTCAGCTTGAGGGCCCTGCACACTATCTTAGAGAATAAAACTGATCATTTTAAGACACAGAAATAGCAGTACAGCAAGTAAAACATGAAGAAAGTAACTAAGCAGCAGAATGCATGCACAAAACTAAACTTAGCTCGATGAAAGCACAGAAGGAAAACACACCGGGGAAAACTGAGGGATTAATTAATATAAACAGTAACTGGAACTAAGAACTAAAGACTCAGAAGACTGAGGAAATACACAAAGAAGCTCCTGCCACAAATGTAAACAACACGCAGACTAAGAATCAAAAAGAAAATATTTAATAATAAACAGAATTAGAAGGTCCAAAACATTAAAACCCCTGAGTTTAAGTCTCGGACTTAAACTCGGGATAATGGCCCAAATATTGATTTAATTTCCCCTCAAATTCCCTGAAAGTTGTGCAGACATGCAGCCCAGTGCAGCGCTTGTTGTCTCTGCCTTTTAAGAAAAAGATGAAATGAACCATTTCACAGATTTCTTTATGCAACTAAACCAAAATCCTTGTAGGATCTAGTCTTGCCAGAAAGTCTTGGGGGGTTTATTATTTGGGCCATTATCCTTAGGTTGCTTTATTTCAGTATTCACTGGGACATAAAAGTGATCACCAGTGTCAACAGTCAGATCGAATAAAAAGGTTTATTAATCTACTGCAAAATACAGATTTAAAGAGCTTTTATTTTCATGACTTTTATCCTTTTAATCTCATTTCCTCTTCTTTGTTTGTCCCAGTAAACATCCTCACAGCAGTGGCCTTGTGCAGGCTGGCGTCCCGCACTAAGAAGGCTCTGTACTACTACCTCTTGGCAGTGACGGCCTCAGACATTCTCTCCCAGCTCTTCATCATCTTCGTCGGCTTCCTGCTGGAGACGGCAGTTTTTCACCGGGACGTCCCCGCTCTCCTGCTGCGCTCCGTCAGCGTCGCCGAGTTCGCAGCCAACCACGCTTCCATATGGTCCACCGTACCGCTCACCGTGGACCGCTACGTGGCGCTGTGCCACCCCCTCCTCCACCGGCAGATCAGCTACCCGGCACGAGCCAGGAAGATTATCGGGGTGGTCCTGGCGGCATCGATCGCATCGGGCGTGCCTTTCTTCTGGTGGTCGGACATGTGGAGGAACAGCCATCCGCCCACAGCGCTGGACGCCGTCCTCATATGGACGCATGTGACTATCATCTACTTCCTGCCGTGCAGCATCTTCTTTGTGCTGAACTCTCTGATAATCCACACGCTGAGGGTGAGGCAGAGAGAGCAGCGCTGTCAGGAGGAGCAGGGGACCAAGTCGGTCCCGCTGCAAAGACTCGGGAAAACCACGGCCATGCTGCTCGCCATCACCTCAGTGTTCTCAATCCTGTGGGCGCCCAGAACCATCGTGGTCATCTACCACCTGTACGTGTCCACTGTTCATCGAGACTGGCGCATCCACCTGGCCTACGACCTCTCCAACATGCTGGCCATGCTCAACACCGCAGTCAACTTCTTCCTCTACTGCTTCGTCAGTAAGCCTTTCCGCAGCGCCGTGCGGGATGTCGTACTGCTCAGGGGCTCGCCGCTCTACTCTCGCCGCGCTCTGCCCCAGCAGCAGGTCCCCACCAACGCCTCCATTTCCTCTCTGTACAGTGGGAACAGCAAGCGGTTTCAGCGGGACTTCACCCCCTTGTCACCTCATGGGGCCAGAAAGCCCTCATGACCCTGTGACTTGTCCTCTTAATCCAAAACACCCATCGTCCCACGGTCCCGGTGCACTCCTCACCCCAGGGACGCGTACTGTGTTCCGGCTACGACTGTGGGCAGCGACCGGTCGGCCCTGGGGCGCTCTCAGAGGGCCTGATTGCGGCTTAGCATGATTTTCGTCTTACAGTGTTTGACCTCGTGTTGTTTGTCCACGTAAATCAGATAACGTGACAGCGTATTTATTTTTCTCGAGAAGAATCTGAGGAAATAAAAGTCGATTTTTTTTCCATAGATGGTAGTAATGTGACTGATTTGTTTATTAAAAAGGACAAAATCCCTTTTTGAACAATAACGTAAGCCCAGATGTAGATTCATGTTAATATTAAAGACTTTTTGCATATTAAGTGCAATCAGTGATCGTTGCTGTTCCTTTGGTCGTGTAAAGTGGTGTGACATTCACTCTGGAAGCTGCAAAGATGTCAGAATAAGAGTGATAATGTTGAATAAACAGTTTTTTCTGCAGTTGTATAAAGACAAGGAGTGACTCAGTAGGCAGTGTGACAGGACTGTCACTGCACTGGCATTAAAAACCATCCAACTTGACAAAGCCTCAAATGAAAGCTCGGTTTTTTAAGCCACAGGCTTTTCAGACAACTGTATCACTCACCAATGTGGCCTCAGCTCTAGCCTGATGGATGATCTGATATCGTCGTGTTGGTGTTGTTCCCAGATCATCATGAAAATGTTGTTCCAGGTTCAACATGGCAAGTGACCAATCACATTATTGTGACGTTATTCTTTTGTGCACCAACCCATTCGTGCAATTATGAAATTCCAATGTTGCAAGGACAATATCAATTCTGCTTAGCATTTATTAAAGGGTTAGGGTCCGTTGATTGGCGGACAAAGGCGGTTTCTCGCAGCTTAAGTACAGTTTTTTGTTTTACGCCGGTTTTTCCCGAAGTCGCAAAAGTATGACATCACAACATTCTGATTGGTCACTTGCAATGTTGATCCTGGAACAACCTTTAGTATGATGATCTGGGAACAACACCAACACGACGATATCAGATCGTGCCTAGCCTGATAGTCTGCACTAACACTAACACTACACTCACAAGGAAGCGTGGACGCTTTTGCATGCACAGCCACTGCATTTCCACCAAACGATGTAAAAGTCGCAAATGTTCTACCATCTAATTGTAAATATGCACAAATTAAGACTGTTGTTGACCTTCAAAGAATTGAGTTCTATTCTCAGAGTTTATATGTAGTCCACTTTTGATGACAGAGTATATATTAAATATCGGCTGCATATAAAAACTGACCATAGCCACTGTGACATCACCCACTGATCACTGAAGATCAGTTGTAAAGCCTCAAAATAAAGCATTAGGTATCTTAGTCTTCTGAAAGTAGACGTGACTGCACGCCGCTGTTTGTAATTTACCATAATTTACAAATGAGCTTAATGTTGTCTTCATTAAGACTTCAAATACGTGATTGAGTCAGTGCACTCACCACAAAACTATTTACTGAAGTCCTATCACGAGGGAGCCGAGGGAGGTTTTCCCCTGGACATTTATATAAACAGATGTCTTTTTACAACCAGAGGCCTCATTTTCAGTCAGATGTTCCTGGAAAATAATTTATTAATCATTTAAATGGTAGAAAAAAGAAATAAATCAGAGTAGTTACTGTTCTGAAATAATCAGCAAATGGTTTAAATTGTGTATAAAATTTTATGGACATGGTTAAATATTTTATGTACCAATATTTCAAGTGTATTTAGGACGTATTTGAATCTCGTCCCTCGATGGTGAGATTCTGTGGACTGCACACACACAACTCCAGTCATACCAGTTCACTCTGACACAGCTGTCGTATAACCGGTTAAAGTAAACCTACTGCAGGACGGCACTGATTAGAAACAGCTAACTTGGTACTGAATAATAATTAAATATGATTAATTAGCTTAACGGGCTCGTATTTCTCTTGCAGAATAGTGAAGGCAGCAACATTTTAGCATGTAAGTTGCAAAAAGGGCACATTTCTACTTGCAGTCTTAGAAGTTCCAACATTTATATACAAACTATGATATAAAAGAACAAATTATTTTCTTCCTCACTGCTTTCAACATCAAACAACACTGGAGCATCATTTCATCCTAGTGTCCAAGAATCGCACGTAAATGATCGGTTTCCATGGACGAGCTCAGAGATGAGAACAACTAGTGTAACTTAATGCATTTGTCAGTTTTTTGATTTGTATCGGTGAATTGTTTTTTCTTGTGGTTGGATTTTCTTTGATGGTCAAAAACTGTTTGCATTCAATAAAAATCGAAAATGTATTTAAACTGTTAAGAAGTCTTGACTCGTGTGACTTTTGAAATTGAGTGACAGAGGGGAACCCGGTCAGGGGGGAGGGGTCTGTGGGAAACCAGAATACTCTAATTGAAAATTCAAATAACTGTAATTGTGGGAACACTTCCCACGTCTATCAGGGAAACTTGGCATCATATTTGGTGTATGAGATTCAGCTGTGAGGTGACGGAGCGGTCTGCTTCTGTCTTATTCTACTGAGCAGTGGAGCAAAGAACAATGTCCCACACGTTCTTTATTTTTACCTCTTCAGTTGCATTTTAGCCACGTGATAAACAAACAGTTTCAAGAACTAGAAGACTTAACTTTTCAAATTCCTTACATTAACCTTAACCTCAGACTTCTTTTATAAATCCTCATTTGGGGATTCAGACGAGCTGAAAGCTCCATAAACAGGTCACTGGTGACCATGTGGATGTTAAGAGTTTTTGGGTTCCACGTGGTTGCTTGTACTTTGCCGGAGACACCTGAGTGCTTCACATCTGTCTCAGGATCAGGCAGAACACAAGGTTGGTGATTTTATGCATTTTGTGTCCGCTCACATATTTGTCAATTCATTTTTGTTTATTTAGACTGAGAGCTTTTTATTGTCATTGTGCAGTTTCTTGCACAGCGAAATCGGGTAGCTGAACCATAAAGATGCTAAAGTAAGAAGAAGAGAAACCAATATACAACGAAGGCAGAAAATAAATAAATAATTAAATAAATAGAATAAAATAAAAAACAGTGTATATGTATACATATGTGAGTGGAACTATATACATGGTGTGTGTGTAGGAAACATTGAATCAGACTGGAACCAAAATAATTGCACATGAGCCAAAAATATTGCACAGAACATGGAAAGACTGAGATATTGCAGAGGTAGCTGTCATGGATGAGCCTAGATGTAATAATAATAATATAATAATACATTTTATTTGATTTTCATTTTTATTCTTCTTCTTCATGGTTCAGTGTTTTTCTATAAAGAAAAGCACTAAAGTAATGGCCAAGTTTACGCTGACCATGAGGAAAACAGAAACATCAAATGTTTTTCCTAAAAAATGAGCTTTTTTAGGAAAAATATTCCTAAATATTTTGAATTGATGGCAGTGACACAACCTGTATATACACTTCAGCCACGATGGTGCCTTTACAGATGTGCGTAGGAATTAACGCACCCCTGAACCTTTGAACCGAGTGCTGAAAACAAGCTGGATGGTCACCCCGTTCTTCAGGCTGGACAGCATGGATCATGTTGCCTCATGTTCCCGAGAAGATGATGGTTCATGTTCACTTACTAGTGGCATGATGGAGCTTTAACCTGCATTTGTGGACGACACAGCTGTGTTTCTGAGCCCGTGCGTGTCTGTTTTTGATGCAGTGCTGCTCGAGGATGAAGATCACGAACATCTACGGTTTATTTCTGGCCTTGTCTCTTGTTCAGACAGATGATTTTTTTTTTTTTGAAATTATGTACTGTGGCTGATACTGTTGTTACGACTGTTGTCGTAATTATATGTAAATTTGAGTGTGCAGGTGCTCCTCCGTGATTGGTGCATCCAGGGTGGATGGCTCCCACCGATTGGCCAAGGACCGGGAGGCAGCGGATAAGAAGACACCGCCAGGGACTGCAATGTCATTCATCCTCGGCCCAACCCAACCGGCAGACCGTTCACTGTGTCACTATGTTGGTTAATGTAAGAGCATGTAGGGGTGGACCGCCTTTTTGTTTGATCAGTTTTCTCCTGTTTTTGTTAGGCAGGGAGGAAAATGATTGTCGTTTGAGTTAGTTCTTTTGCGTAGGTAAGTTGTGTTTATTCCTGAGATAGGCTACCTGTTGTTTGTTGTTTTGGCCTTGGGTTCACCCTGAAGTTATGATATGCTCCCTTCCTTGGTTTAACTGCACTTATTGTAAATAAATCACTGTCACAAAATATTAAGTGTGTGACGTGCTGCTTGGGGTTGGACGGGGATGGATCACCCTTTATGTTGTGGTCTGGCCGCGCCTAGACGGGCCATAACACTGTCTACCACAGACATTTAAAGTCTTTGCAATTTTACATCAAAAAACATTATTTCTTAAATTGTTCTACAGTAGATGCAGTTTTTCCCTCTCTAACACGTTCCTTTTATACCCAGTCATGCTAATGACCTGCTGCTAATTAACACCGTTGGCTGCAAAATGTTCCTCCAGCTCTTTCTTTTAGTATCACTGACTTTTCCAGCTTTTTATTTCCCCATCCCACCTTTTTTGAAACATCCAGCTACCATCCAATTAAAAATAAGTAAATACGTTTCTGGGAATGGAACATTTTCTTCTCTCAAACATTTGATGTGTGTTCTTTGCTCTATTGGGAATAAAAGATGGGTTTACGAGATTTGTGACTCACAGTATTCTGTTTTTATTTACACTTAATACAAAATCCCAGATGTGCATACTGGGTTTGTACATCTGGCCATCCTTTAAAGGTTAAAAGTTTCTAATCCAAGCCCCCTGCTGACCCTCGTCCATCCTGAGTCTTCGCCGTGTTTACTGTAACAGTACATGACGCAGCGTTAGAGCCCCACCAGCAGGCTCATGCGGCCCCGCTGTCGGCTCACGCTGAGTTCTGAGAGTTCGTACGGAGATGCGGATACAAACGGTTTCTTTGAAGATGACTCCTGCTGCCTCGCAACAACAGAGGCGGGGTGAGAGAGAGCGTGTGGTGGCAGCAACCTTACGGTGGTGATGAGAGTGGGAGTCAGAGATGAATGATCAAACATAACACAGCGCAGAGATGTCCAAGCAGGCTTTGATTTACTCGAACAGAGCTGCTGCTGATCGTGTTAGGCAGCAGAGCGGTGACGCTGGGGGAAGGGCATTGTAGAGGAGGTAAACCCCAGCAGCCACACGTCCCCCGTCTGCCTGACACCTGTCCTTTGTGCCTGTTCAAACACCTGCTGATGGCCCCCCACTCTGCTCCTATTGAGCCCTTCCTGTTGCTTAGCAGGTGTCACAAGGAATCAAATGAAAGGACAGAGCGCAGCAGAGAGTGATGGCGTCCTATCAGATGCACTTGTGCAATAAACACAGGAAGTTTACACTACACAACAAAGGGAGGAAGTTTGCCCAATTTACTTACTTAAAGAAAAGTTCAGATTTTATGTCGTTTCAGTAGCAATGCAGGAAGTAACACTGGCCAGAAGACATTTCCTTCACTTTTCCCCGAGGATGCTGGTGCTAACAAATGCTAAGCTGTTGCAAAGACTTGCATTCAGCTTGATTTCAGCCTTTCATCATTAATAATTTTATGCTTTGATGATAGAAGTTTCTGCCACACACGATCCACTCGAGAAAAAAAATGACTTTTTAAATGTCCGTGACTTTGAATCTAAAGACAATGAGTGCATGTTGGTTTGAAATGTGACCCTGCATGTAAACACTGGCGTAGTTTCATATGGAGGGAAAATAAAGGTTTAACAAAGGATCAGTGCAGTTTAATTTCCATTGTGTAATTTCAGGTGAGGACGTTGTGTTCATTTCAATCTGGACATTCAGACGAAAAGAACTTGTTTGAAATCTGGCCTTGTCATAATAATAACAACAATAACAACAACAACAATAATAACAATAATAATAATAATAATAACAATAATAACAACAATAATAATAATAATAATAATAATAATAATAATAATAATAATAGCTTTTGATCATATTAGTAATAAAGGAAGATGCCAGGTGATAAAATAGGTTTTATGGGCACTTTTTAGTCCAGCACAGTGAATCCGAATAATTATTTGAATCTGTCTTTACTTTATCTGTCTGCACTCTGACTTTTTCTTCAGTTTCAGATTTCATATCCTGTTGAAATAAGAGAAAAAATCAGAGTGATGAACTGGGGCTTGCCAGAACAAAGAATAATGCATCACTACCTCTGCAGGAATTCGCTTTAACAAAATATTTCTGATCTTTATCTGGAAACAGACAACTGATGGACACCAGGGCTCTGCTGGAAGGAAGCAAAGAGATGTTTAGTTCTCAAAGTAAAACTGTTTGGCTCCAAGGCCAGGTAACGGACCTAATTTTAGAGAATGGAAAACTGAAAGCAGAATTCCTATCAGTGATAGCCAGATGGAGGAGCTGAAAAGTGAGAATGAGAATCGTGAATAAAGAAGCCAGCAGCCTCACTAAGGGTAAATGAGGCAGGAAGCATCAGAAGTTGATTTACAAGCATGAGGGTCTGTGTGGACTATTCTTTTAATCATTCCCCCAAAACCTCACATGCACCTATTCTTCACCTGTCAGCGCTTACACATCGATTTCAAAAGAGGTTGTTTTTTGTTTTACTCCATGAGAGTCACAGAGGGTTGATTATAGCACATATATGCACATTTTTCACCTGCAGCGAGCATCAAAACATTCTGTCACCGGTGAAGAGCTTTTAAGAATTTCTAGCTTCTGTCTTTAAATGTTGAGGCTTTAAATAATAAAAGTGTTGACATTTTGGCTGCAGTTGCAACAATGTAACAGTCAGAGTGTATTATATTATCAGAGTCCATCCTTTTTCTGAACTATAGAGCGAGCTCGTTGCTCCAGGTGGGCTGTAGCCTGACCCAGGACAGGTCACCGGCTCCACTGGTCACAGGGCATCGATTTAGAACCGGTAATGGACCTAATATACATGTCTTTGGACTGCATGAGGAAGCTGGAGCTTCTTACTGTGAGGCCGCAGTGCTAACCACAGCAGCTCTTTTTATCCGTGAAGCTGCATTAAAATGATTGAGAATGAGCAGAAAAGGAGCTTGCTGCCCTCTCTGGGCTAACAGAGGTATTGCCAGACAGCAAAATAAAAGAAAAGCTTTTCTTGAATTGTCAAAATTTGGGCAAACTGGCAGCTTATCACATCCACCATTTAATATGAAATCGTGCTTCGTCTTTATTGAATTCTGATTTACTTTTATTTATTAACTTTACCTGGATTTACTGTTTTTTATTTTCATTTGATGGTCAAGAAACTAAAAGTGAAATGACGAATGAATAATGAAGAAAAGAAATAAATGTGCTGCCGTGAACTTTACAGCCTGCAGAGATGGAGCTCCTGGGGTTTTAACACCATTCTTCCCACAGTCCTGAAGGACAAGCTGGAGAACTCTGGAGTGGACCATCACCTCACTACATGGATTCTGGACTACCTCACTGACCAACCACAGTATGTTAGAACTCAGGGCTGCGTGTCGGACAGGGTCGCCCCACAGGGAACGGTTCTGGCTCCGTTCCTCTTCACCATCTACACTGCAGACTTCTCCCACAACTACCCAGTGCTTCCAGCAGAAGCTCTCTGACGACTCTGCAATAGTCGGCCTCATCACTGATGGGGATGACAAGGAGTACAGAGAACTGACACAAGGCTTTGTGGACTGGTGCTAGCAGAACTACCTCCAGATCAACACTAATAAAATCAAGGAGCTGGAGATGCACAAACATCCTCCTCTGCAACCACTGAACATCCAAGGTATGGACGTCGAGGCTGTGGACAGCTACAGGTACCTTGGTGTTCATCTGAACAATAAACTGGACTGGACTCATAATTCAGACGCCCTCTACAGAAAAGGGCAGAGCAGGCTGTACCTGCTGCAGAGACTCAGGTCTTTTGGAGTAAAGGGCCCACTCCTGAAGACCTTCTATGACTCTGAGGTGGCCTCAGCCATCTTTTATGGTGTGGTCTGCTGGGACGGCAACCACTCTGCCGGGGACAGGAAGAGACTGAACAGGCTGATCCGCAGGGCCAGCTCTGTTCTAGGATGCCCTCTGGCCCCAGTGGAGGTGGTGAGTGACAGGAGAATGGCGGCTAAGCTGTCATCCCTGTTGGACAACATCTCCCACCCCGTGCAGGAGACTCTGACAGCACTGAGCAGCTCCTTCAGTGGCTGCGGCACCCACGGTGTGGGACGGAGAGATTTCGCAGGTCTTTCCTCCCCACTGCTGTCAGACTCCACAACAAAGACTTTTGCAGCTGATCAAACACACACATCCACACATGTGCAATAGCAATAACACTGCAATACTCTTTCTGGCATCGTTGTATTATACTCATATTGTATATGGCATCTTATCTTTTTGAAGCATTGCAGAGTATAACCTTCGGGTGAATTTACTGGGATGTCCACTCCTGGGAAGATTGTGCCGATGTGTTAACACACACCTGAATGCTTCAGACCAACAAACTGCCAAAACCTCTACAGAGGTGCTAACACTTGATAATGAACTGTTAATCAATTGATTAGAAGTAAAATTTTCTCATGAATAAACGCAAAAACCTTATTTTGTTCACAGGACTGCTTTCAGATTTTCTGCAAAGGAGATTGGAGGAGAGATTCTTAAAGATGATTTGTAGAAATAAACACTTGCAGGTGTTCTTCACCTGCTGCTGAATTCTTCGAATCCTCCACTAGATGTCTCTACACACACGTTCAGGTGGCCCAGCTGTTCACTCAAAATGTCTGTTTATCATTATCAGTGGAAGAGTGACTTAAGTGCTGGTTGTGAGCAGAGCCACATAAAATGGCCAATACTGAGCCTCTGTGTGTGACCCTTACAGGGACGCTTTCAGTGGGGAAAATGTGGCAGTGTCCCGGAAGCTACCACCATAAAGCAATAAAACAGAAACTGTTCCCACGAGTGAAGGCTGACGCTGAAATTGGCTGAGCTCACAGCTTCTGTGTGGAAGCCTTTCAGAGGAAACAAATAGAAACGGTGTCATTTAAGGTGTGAGGTACTCATACAGAACTGAGTGGCCTTTCACTGGAGAAAAACATCATTACTGTGAAGGGGCCACAAGTGAGAAAATACTTTTATTTTAGGTGAATTTTGTTGTTAAAAACTTGTTAAATGACTTCTATCAAAAGTCTAGATTTCTTTTCATATGAGTTATTTATACAAAACTGTATTTACTCTCTGCTGCTGCACATGCGCAGTGTGCCCTGCACTAATCTGCACGCATTTCTATCACCGAGGCCCAACTTCTGCCGTTTTTTAAAGTTTTTAAAATGTTTATTTTATTTTATTTACAGCGCAGCTGCAGCCTTGACGCTACAACAGATATGAGTTAATAACATTCAGTGTGTTAGGATGTGATTCATTAATATTAAACAATATTTTAAAGACTGTTTGTGACCTGGTTTTACGGATATTTGTGCTCCGGGCTGTGTAACATGATAATATCCTAGAAGATTTGATACAGATCAGATACTGCCGGGCCATAAAAGCTTTAAGAAAATCATCTGTGGGTTATAAGTCTCCCGGAAGTGAGGGTAGGTCGCTGTGGTGTCCTTTGAAGTGATGAACAGCAGTGCGCGCGTGTGCGTCTCCGTGCGCGCTCGGAGAGACGAAGAGGGGAGAGGTGGGGAGGTGGAGAGGGGATGACTGTAGTCACACCGAGAGGAAAAGCTCGTGAAAGGATTCCTAAACTTGGGAGCGGTCGGATCAGCTGTGCCGCAGTTTGCTTCTTCTCCGAGTAATTTGTGCCGAACTACAGCGGCGCGTTCGCAGCAGGTGAAAACCGACGAGCCGCGCCCAGCAGAAATCTGCCGAGAACAGCCAGGTAGTGAAACTCCTCACAGCCATCACAGCCTTTATTCACGCTCACTGAAGCTTTACTGCCTGTTTCTGAGCTTTGCTTCAGATTGATTTCTATATTTTCTGTGTATTTAGACAGAGAGAGCAGGGGATCATTTATGGAAGATCGTTTGTGCCACTAAATTAACAACTAAAGAAAAGTTATTCACTGAAAACAATTCTATTAAAATAGAGTTTAAATAGCTGTGTTTCAACAGTTAGACACGTTAGCTCGTGCTTTCAAATACTTAAGTTATACATTGTTGTGTTTGATTATTGTACAGCTGAAAGGAGGGTAGAGAATATAAGAAAGATTCAGTTGCATAATGTAGAAAATCAGATTTAAGTAAAGTTCATCCCGAATTGCAGCATACTCTTCAGTTCATTTTCCTGATGGAAAACCCACTCCTGTGATCCCATGTTCTCACAATAAGATTAGATATCAGTGCGAGAAATACACGACAGAGTTACACCTAGACCTGAGGACAGGACCACAGCAAATAGATTAAACTGTACTATACCTGTGCAGGATGCAATATGTATTACCTTCAGTCGCAGTATTGTGTGTCTGCCACTTGGCTTGTAGTCACAGTAATGCTAAACTTGTCGTCCCATTTTAGTGTCACCTCTTAATTTTGACTCACTGAGTTATTCTTACTGTTATAAGTGGCTTCTTTCTTCATATACACGTTTTTTAAAGCTGAGTGAACAGGATTAGTAGACTTCATTAAAAAGGCCATATAAGAGTTTAAAGGAGTAGAGGAGGATGAGTTTGGATGCTAGATTTTGTACCTGGAGTGTATGTTTTGTCTGTGCTGGTCAAAGTGTAGAAGCCTGATTGAGTCTTGGCTGGCAAAAAAAAAAAAAAAAAAAAAAAAACATCTGGCGGGGCACAAAGTAGGTTTTACCTGTGCGAGTTTGTGGTAAAGTAGCTAAACATATCATAAATTAGAGAAAACTGAAGAACCTTTTGACTACTGAAAATCCACCTTACAGGTTACATTTCTGTGGTTACATTTCCAGTTATTGCAATAATCAGATTCAATGTCTTGTATTAATTCAGGGATGTAGGCCGCTTACACCCCACTTTGATCCTAAGTGGTTCGAACGGGTAAAAATCCCCTTTCTGTGAGTGTGAAGGAACTTAACTTCACATTTAAACCCCGGGATATCTCACATATGTATACATATACACTGTTTTTTATTTTATCCTATTTATTTAATTATTTATTTATTTTCCGCCTTCGTTGTATATTGGTTTCTCTTCTTCTTACTTTAGCACCTTTGTGGTTCAGCTACCCAATTTCGCTGTGCAAGAAACTGCACAATGACAATAAAAAGCTCTCAGTCTCTCTAAGTCTCTATAAGAAAAATAATGTCAACAGTACGTCTCAGTTTGTCCACATGATGAAGAAATGCTGCTGAAAGAAATGAAAGAAACCTGTCAGCATGACTTAAATTCTTAAAATTAAAGCAGTTAATGTCCAGAATTACAAAAAGTCTGGTAGCTCATTGTCCAGAATGGCCTGTTAGTATAAAGTTGGACGATTTTTCTAATTCACAGAAAAATAGAAAAAAATAGATATTTCTTTAGTATATAGTCAAAAAACAGGAACTTCTTTGTTATTTGATTGTTTTTACTTTATTGCTGTAGTATAAAAAAGATGTCACATTTATGAAATGTATGCCCTTCTTCACATTTTCCAAAAATAGCCATCAGACTGTGTTGGAGTCTTTGCCAGGCCGACTCTGGCAAGACATCATTTGACATTCTCTAAAGTCTAAAGTTCGGCACAAAAATCCTCAAAAAAGGCCTAAAAAGTTTAGAAAACCAAAGTATTGAAATTGCAGATGTGCCTTAAATATGCTTATAATATTTCCCCCTGGCAACAATTACAAAAAACAACTCAACAAATATTAAAATGAACGGTCTAAGAACTTTGTTTGATCAGTGGTCACACCCTGAAACTGGGAGTAAATGTATAGTTAATTCTGTCTGTTTGAGGAGTGACAGAGTGGAGGACATGTAGAAAAAGAATATATTGGCCTATTTGTTCCAGAAAGATCCGTCTTCCTGACTGAGTAACAGAAGGTCAGAAAGACTGAATGTCTGCACGCCGCGTCTATCGATTTGACTCCGAGACCGTCCTCAGTTTGGTGTAATTGGATCTGATAGGGACAAAAAGAAACAGCCGGACGAGGCAGAAAGACAAAACCAGGATTGCAGAGATGTTTATTCACAAAACAGATGCTCAGATTTTATGTAATTCAGCAGAAAACACTAAAAAGCAAAACCTTTGGATTTGATTTGACCAAAGTTTTAGCAGGTGAGCCTCAGGTTCAACGCACTTTTTCCTCACTGTTGTGTAAATGTGCAAAAACAATGTCTGTTGACAGATGTGTTAATCATCAACTTTAGAGTTGGGAAAAAGCCCAGCAGTGACATTCCTCCCACATTTTTGGAGTGTGACTGCAGATCCCTGAAGCTCTAAATAAAAGCAAAGCGCCTTTTTATAGAACGTTTTCCAGGATAACATGACGACGTTCTGTCTGTTGACTCATGCAAGTGTGATATTTGCTCAGCTGGGTGTAGTCAACTGTATCTTAATGTAGCTTTGGTGACGTGGTTTAGCTCTTTGTTCAAATCTGTCCCTATCGTGTCTCTCCCAGACATTCCCTGTTTGTCCATCTGAACAGGTGCTGCTAGAGTCCCAGAGCAACTCCCAGGCTCCATGGCCAGCAACATGACTCCTCGGGGCTGCGGCCCAAACGTGGAATCCATTTATTACAATCTGTGTAGCACTGAAGCTGTGTGGGGCATCGTGCTGGAGGCCTTAGCGGCAGCTGGCATCGTCTTCTCCTTCGTGCTCTTCATCTCGCTGCTGGCCAGCCTGCCCTTCCATAAAGACTACAACCGCAAGAGCTCGGTGGCTCTTCACGCCTTCTTCCTGATCAGCACTGCTGGTCTCTTCTGCCTAACCTTTGCCTTCATCGTGGGAAAGAACTTCTCCACATGTGCTTCACGGAGGTTCCTCTTTGGGGTGCTGTTCAGCGGCTGCTTCGCCTCCCAGCTGATGCAGTGTGTGAGGCTGAACATCCTGGCCAGACGAAACAGCGGGCCTCGAGTTTGGGTCTTGTGTCTCGGGGCGTTGGGGCTGTGGCTGGTGGAGGTGATCATCAACACAGAATGGCTGATAATTACAATTGTGCCTTCCAACACCACAGCTCAAACTAGCAAAGATATAGCCGTGCCGTGTGACATTGCTAACGAGGACTTTGTCATGGCGCTCATCTACGTGATGGTGCTGATCCTGGCTGTGGTGGTGGCGAGTCTGACCATCATGATGGGCAAACACGCACAGTGGAAGAAGGAAGGCGCTTGCATCTTTGTGACAAGCCTCTTTTCAGTGGGTATTTGGGTGGTGTGGATCGTCATGTACGTGTATGGGAATGGGAAAACCGGGGGTCCAACGTGGGATGACCCAACCTTAGCCATCGCTTTGGTAGCAAACGCCTGGGTCTTCATTATCATGTACACCATTCCTGACGTCTGCTGTCTGAACAGTGACGATGAGAGTCAACAAGACTTCACAGACAATCTTTACCAAAACCAAGGAGTCGGATACGAGACGATCCTGAAGGGACAATCCCCCCAGAATGTGTACGTGGAAAATAAGGCTTTCTCCATGGACGAGTCCAACCAAGGTATGTAGCTTAGCCTTGGAGTTGCTGTAGAAAACCTTCAAACAAGCAACTTCACAAGTACGCTTAACTTTGAAGGGTTTTTTCTAGGGATGCAACGATACCAGTTTTTTCAAACC